CTCCATTTTAACGTTTGCCTCTTTCATAGCGCACATTTTCATACATTGTACACGGACTCTCTTAAACTACTCCTTGTGTCTAAATCTCAACTTTTAAACATTACCTTACGATTTTACACTGCTGTGAAAATGATGCTGACTGCCAGGTACTGCCGCTGGGAGAAAAAGCCAGGCCTCCTCTGGGGCCAATGTCGAGGCTATTCTATCTTCTCCTTGCCCTGGATGTCAAGGGCACCTCAGGAACCCCCCAGGGTCTGGAGCTTTCTGACCAACTTGTTGCTGCAGGGGTGGGGAGGAGGGCGCACAAGCAAGACACCACCCAAGGTCCCGTTCATCTCAAGATGTCATTGTCACAAAGGTCCCTCTCCTCATCTCTGCTCCAGGTACTTGGTGAACCTGGAACAGGCCTTAGGGATTTTGAGGCTGCTCAGCTACCCCACATGCAGTTCCTGCAGCAGGAGGTGCCTGTGAGAACCAGAGGAGCCCAGGCCAATTTCCCAGCTCCCTGGAGAAAGCCCTCTTCCATCCCCAAAACCCAAACCAAACCCACTGCCGTCGAGTAGATTCTGACTCATAGTGACCCGACAGGACAGAGTAGAACTGCCCCATAGAGTCTGCAAGGCTGCAAAACTTGACAGAATCAGACTGCCACACTCCTGCAGAGCAGCTGGCGGGTTTGAACCGCTAACCTTTCAGTTAGCAGTCAAGCACTTTAACCACTGCGCCACCAGGGCTCTTTTCTTCCATCCCAGGGTCCCCCAAATCCATGTAAAGGTTCTTGCCTGACCACCGGCCAGCTTGCTCCCCAAGCCAGCAAAACCATAATTAGAAGTTTCAAAATAGTTTTTGGCTCTCTAGAAATAGAATTTGCCCACCCGCCTCCCTTAAAACGTGCAAATCTCCATTTAGACAATTGTACCCTCCACGTCGTGTAAGACAGTGACAGCGTGTGTGCAGGTCTGGAGAGCAGCTCACCGCAGGCTGGCTCCTCTGTGGCTCTGTGGAGGGAGGAGGCGCTATCCGTGGGTGAGATGGTGAGACACTGTTGGCCCTTGTCCACGAGATCAGAGTGCAAGACCGCCATGCCTCCGAGTAAGACACAGGCTCTCTTTCTTTTCCAGCTGCTCAGGCTACTTTTGCACAGTGTTAAGACAACTTGGGAAGCCCCCACCTCCATAGAGGTGGAGGAGTTGTCCAGCTTTGGGGGTGAAAATCAACGGCCTTCAAGTCGATTCCGAGGTGCCTCTGGGTAGACTCGAACCTCCAGCCTTTCAGTTAGTAGCCAAGCACATTAACCAGGGACTCCTGAAATGACACTACTCTGACTTTATTTTCCTAATTTTCTCTTTTTGAAGTGCTGTATAACCTTGGTTTGGATGTTATGTGACATCATTTGGTTTCCTTAAAGCATCGACACACTTCGGGGTTAGGTTTGGGATGCCCAGCACCCTTTTTCTCCTCCAGGATTCTGACTGACGGAGCATGTACTGATGCAAATGGGCACTCGTGGGCCAGCTTTATTACCCAACATAACCGGCTCCCTGGCAAATAGGATTAGAGGTAGTTTAGGCCTAAGGTCAAATTGGAGCTTTTTAATATAATGCATATGGTTAACAAACTCAGCTACTACCTGAAAGATTGGAGGTTTGAAACCACCTACAGGTGCCTCTGAAGAAAGACCTGGCGATCTACTGCCAAAAAGTCAGCCGTTGAAAAGCCTGTGGAGCACAGTCCTACTGTGACATCCATGGGGTCACTGTGAGTCCAAATCAACTTGATGGCAACTGATTTTTTTTTTTTTTAGTGTCATCCCAAGCTAAACGCAAAAGTCCCCATATTCAAGTCAATACCATATTCATACAGTGAGAGGACTGACTGATGAGGCCCCAACCTGGAGACAAAAACTCACAACAGTTCATTAGCAATCAGTGTAGATGTCAACATATACTAAGGGCGTTTTCATTACTGTATTCAGTAAAAGTCAGCGTTAATGATAATGATGATTCAAATGGTGGTCCGTCATGTTCCAAAGTCAAAAGAATCAAGTCAACAAACGAAACATAAATCATGAATATGTCTATTGTAAATTCATAGCAATGTCAGTTCACTAGCTTTAACTTGTGCACATTTTCCACCACATAACATGAATGTTAATTTGAATTTTATTACTGTTAAAGTTTATCTAGACTTAATTTTAAATCCATTTTGATTTTATAATTGAATTTATAAGAGCTATAGCTTTACATGGAAATCCTAGTGGCACAGTGGTTAAGAGGTATGGCTGGTAACCAAAAGGTCAGCAGTTTGAATCCTCCAGGTGCTCCTTGGAAACTCTATGGGGCAGTTCTAACCTGTCCTGTAGGGTCGCTGTGGGTCAGAATCCACTCATCGGCAGCGGGTTTGGTTTTTTTTGGTTTATAACTTTATGTGTATACATATTTAAGTAAAAGTATATAAAAGTAATTTAGGTCATCTATATTTCAAAGAAGACTGGACCTTACTTACATTTGAGGAAAAACTGCCATTTAACACAGGATCGCTCATGCTAACAAATTCATCTACCCAGGTACCCCCCCCATCCAAAAAAAAAAAAACCCAAAGCTGCTGCCGTTGAGTCGATTCTGACTCATAGTCAAAGGCTTATTTGTCTGGAAGGTCCAGGTGAAAAATATTTTAGTGTACAAGAAATTATCTCTATTATCATCCTACGTGTGCTTCATGAAAGCAAGAAAACAAACTCTTGTCTAGAAACCAAGCTTCTTTCAATAAATCAGAGTTTAACCGCCTCGCTCAATCAACAAGTACTGTGTATTTTTAGGATCACCCTTAAATATGAATCCAGAAGACAAAGAACAAAAGCCGAACTATCAAACCACTCTGAAGGGAAAATATGAAGCTCCCAAATGAACGTGATCGTTGAAAATATAAACGATTTCTTCTGAGCCTGGCTCTGTCAACCATGGCGGAAAAGGATGTTTTTACAATCAGAGCAGAAATATGACTGGCTCTCCTACATTTACATTTCTTTGTTGCAAAATGAATGTAACTTGTTCGGATTCCAGCAGCGGAGAAAGCAGCAGACGTGGTGGTTACTTTCCGAAGTGAAACTTAAAACCACAATCTCCGGTGTACAAAAGGCAGAATGAGTCATAGGAAGAGGCCACTTGCTTGCAAAACTCATTAAAAGCAAAGCAGGCCTCAATGGACTTCCTGCACCAATCAAAAGATCCCTGGCACCAGGACAGGCACCTCTGGGCTCTGACAACTTGGGGCGGGGGTGGCGGGGGCTGGGGGTGCTCAGGCCTGCTCCTTCACAGGCACTGACCAGGTGCAGTCCCCTCTCAGTCATTTCCAACTCGCCATCTGAGATCTCTAGGAAGGTGTCCAGGCTGCAGGCTGTGTATCAAAGCATCACAATGACATCTTGTGACTCCAGCGAGCACCTGTATTGGGTTTCCCAGCTCCGGTCCAGGAGGCAGGTTGAGACAAGGTGGTCTCTCCAGGGGTTTTCCTCCTGCTGTGAACCTTTCCTGTGCAAGCTCAAGGCAGTTAGCATTCACTCTAGCCAGGCCACTGAGTGCACTGCTTTTGTGCCACTGGGTACTTTTTAAAGTTAAATATGAGTTGCAGCAATACAGAACAAGTGGGCAAAGCCAGGGTGAAACGGCCAGTCATTCCCAGAGAGGGCGACCTGGGTACGGGACCCTGGGGCGGGTTATATCATCTAAAACAGTGCTTCTCACTCTAGAGGCCGCATCAGAATCCCCTGGAGGGCTCGTTAAAACAGACGGCTGGGCCCTACCCGCAGTTCGATTCCAGTCTAGGGTAAAAAACCAGTTGCTGTTGAGTGGATTCCGACTCATGGCAAGCCCATGTATGTCAGAGTAGAATTGGGCTCCGCAGGGGTTTCAATGATTTTTCAGAAGTAGATCACCAGGCCTTTCTTCTGAGGCACCTCTGGGTGGACTTGAACCAACAACTTGTTGGTTGGCAGTCAAGCATGTTAACTGTTTGCACCACCCAGGGACTCCAAGTCTAAGGTTGTGTTGTGGTTGGGTGCGGTCAAGTCCCTTCCGACTTACGAGGACACCATGTGACAAAGTAGAAATGCCCCCATAGATTTTTCTAGGCTGTAATTTTTACAGAAGCAGATCACTAGGTCTTCCCCTCTCGCAGAGCCACTGAGTGGGTTGGAACCACCAATCTTTTAGTTAGCAGCCAAGTGCTTAACCATTGTGCCACCAGGGCTCCTTCAGGTCTAGAGTAGAGCCCAAGAATCAGTATTTCTAACAAGCTCCCTGGTGATGCTGAAGCTGCAGGTACAAAGACGACGCTTTGAGAACCACTGATCTAAATAGTTTAGACCTGACCTAACAGCTGCAAACTGCTCCCTCTTCCAAGCCAGTGAGTGACATTTGACCTCGGGCTGGTCCAGTTTCAGGGCTGTGGAGGCACTTTGGTACCCAAACAGTTCTCTTAAGGAACTCCCCTTTCTCCCCACAATGCTGGCTGGTCTCCAAGTAAAGCACTTACAGGGAGGGACTTTGCCAAACTGGACAGGGCATGCTCCACCTGAGAACATTTACGTTCAAAGGTTTTTAAAAGCTGTGCCGCCAGACACACAAGGCTTTGCGCCCCCAGGCGGCCATTTTGTGCCCATTGACTTCCAGGGTCAACTTCTGCCTGGTCCGTTCCATTTCCTTCAGGTACCATGCCCTCCACCTTGCACCAGTGGTGAAGGTCAGAAAGGAAAAGGAGGAAAACCTACCAGCATTTTAACCACCTTCTCATGGTTTAAGTCAGGGACAGGATGCCCTACTACCCCACCCCCAGGGAAGCAGGGGTACCGTGTTGCTCCCACTCGACCCCCCCAGTCTGAGGACAAAATACAGATGTGTAGAGTGGAGGCAGATGAGTAGGAAGTGATGGGGGGTGCAACCAAGCTCCTCCAGTACAGCTGGTTAGGAGACTCCTGCTGGAATGAGGATTCTAGAAGTTTCTTTTTTAGTATTTTAAAATGAGGTCTACATATTAACTTTCCTCCATAACTGTTCTCTTATGCCAGGATGGTAACGGGGCAGCAGTTATGACCTCTTATAGGAAAGGGCACTTTGAGCCCAAAGGGTGACGGCGAGTGACCCCATCCTCAATGCTCCTCCTCAGCCACTGAATGAAAGGGTTGTTGAGTCAGGTGGTGGCTATAAAATAAATATTCAGGTGATTACAGCTGAGACACTGGTGACATTCAAGCTACCAGATTAGCTTCCCCTGCACACGTGGGAGCTGCCTGCAGAGCTGCATGGAAACAGCGTAGCCTAGTGGTACCAATATGAGGGGAGCGATGAACAGCAATGAGAGCCTGTGTGAATAAACGGGCCCGCAGACAATCGTTTACATTCATTTTTATTGTACAGATAAGAGCCTAGAAACTGAAATCAGAGTTGGAATAAATCTGTGATGTTCAGCTCACTGAGAGTTTGTTTTGTTTTTAAGATACACAAGCATTAATTCTACATACGCCCAGAGATGAACTGTTTCGGATTTGGGTTTCATGAGGAGTTCAGCCTGGTACCTTGTATAACCACGTTTTAAGCATTTAAGGACTGATGATAGTCTTCCATTTATTCCACAAACACTCAGGCTGATACAGGTATATCAACAGAAGTCTCAGGCCATGTGGACAATGCACGAAATCAATAGGAACTATAGTTTTCAGAGTATAGGAGTGAACTAGTCAAAGATTTTGATTCATGAATTCAGAATGAAAAACTAATTGGGGGTATACAACAGAGAAGTCAAGAGCCCAAAAATTGAAGGCAGTGGATGTGAGGCAAGGGAACCCCCTTCCCTAACAGCTATGTGGTAAACATAGATTATAGGCCAGGCTTGAGAGGCACTTGATGTACAACCTTGAACTGATGCCTCCAGGCTCCTGAATCATTCCCATCAGAGCAGGGTGTGCCCAGGGAGCAGGCCTCTCCTCTCTTCCTTCATCCCTCTTTCCCTCCCATAGGCACAGGGAGAGTACCATCATAAATCTAAAAGAATGAGAAAAGACTAGCTCTTTTCTTCTAAAGACTGAATAGTTCATAGCCTTAAAGGTTTTTTGGAAGAGAGAATAAAATAATATGCTTGATACTACACATTAGAAAATCAGCAGCTTAATAACTTCCCAAGAACTATTGAAAATTCACACACCTGATTTTCAGAGAATTCTTTCATCAGTCTCATTTATTACAATATTTCCTAACTTTGCATCCAGCGCAACACAATGAAGTAGTAAAATGATTTGTATCATTGCACCAGTATATACAAATACAGAACATATGTGGCAAATAATTATATTTAAAGTGGTGATCCAAACATAAAATTGAAAAAGGAATTTTCTTTGAACATGTAATCATTGTTTTCCAATGTACTGGGTATGGTGTCTATTTGCTCTTCATCACATATGATGAATATCTGACGACTTGTCCCTACGGAGTGATTCATTTCCACAGGGCAACTTTGAAATGTGTGGTCCGAATACGGCATTCTAGAGCGTAACCGTGGGGTTACTGGGTGATAGTCTTGTACGCACAGATAAGCACGCTCACACGTGCGTGAATGCAGCCCATGTACGTACCTCATGTTCAGAAGCTGCAAGGCAGGTGTTAATGTTCCAGCTTCTCCAGGTCTCACACTCAGATCTCCATGTAGATCTGAGTGTGACTTTCTGGGAGGCATGCTTTGTTTCAGAGTGCAGTGGGGTGGAATTTTAAGGTACATCAAAAGTCATCGTCCAAAGGTGCACACTCTCAAACATCCACTTGGGAGTGTGGACTACAGCCGGCTGTCCTGAGGAAGGGCAAATTATGTGAGGGATACTCTGCCCAATCTCTTGGCCAAAGCTCTTCCCAGGCACAAGGGAGAAACCATGTGAGCCTTTGCAGGACCATGAACATATATTTAGTTCATGTCAGTTAGATTTCACTCAAAAGTACCCTTGTGACAGGAAGAATTAATGTAGCTCTCAAGGTCACTAATGAACAAGCCCAGCGTAGTGAGAGCAGAACTATCTGCACAAATATTTTTAATGCCTCCAAAAGGCAACCTGCACACGCATGTCTGTGTTTCTATGCAAATCGGGGGTCACCTGCACACAGGTATGTCTGCCTTTCTCTGTATGTCGACATGCACCTTGAGTAAAAGCATTCATTGCTCACAATGAAGGCAACACCTCTAGATTTTCTTTCATAGAAAGAGTAAAATTTCATTAGGCAGTTCCATTTGGTTCCTCCTGGGACCCGAACAATGCAATTTAAATACGAAAGCGCTTCAATCACTGGAGTGAAACACTCTTTAAAAAATAATACTTCAAAAAGTAAAGCAAAATCTTTTACCAAAATAATTTTCACTTTTTAAATTGTTCTCTCTGCAAGCCAATTTAATAAACAAGTAAAAGAATCACCTTCTATGAGCTTAAAGAACGTCACTCGAATTATTACATATCCATTTGCCCTTAACCTGAGGAAAAGGACTAAGAAAAAAAAAAGTATTACTCTTAAATTCCAAAAGAGGGTTAATCTTATGAGATATACAGAATAAGGCTCTTTGGATAGTCTAACACATTTTTTTAAATTTATTAATGACAGTTGTAATAGAATATGGCTAAAAGGTTTATAACAGCAAGCCAATCAGAATAAAGTAATCAATAATATCTACAAAGAATATAATTTAAATTTCTTAAAACTATTTTCTTAAAACCAACCAATTGCTTTTGAGAGCTCCCAATAAAAATGGACATCATTATCATTTGGCATAAGCTTTGTTCAAGTCCGCATTTTCAGCACCACCTTGCTAGATAAAAGGATGCTGGCAGAGTGTTGAACTGATTCAAAGTACTGCCTTAGTAATATTAACTATAATTTGAAGTTAAGGCATTGCAAAGTTACAGAGAGCTCGATAAAGCACATTCTAAATAAAATGTCTGCCACAGACGCATTAAGGCATAAATATTTCAGCCTTTAGCCACAGGAAGGGGGAGGGGAAGGATATGCCAATTACTTAGGTTATCTTTAACCAAAGGAATTAAAGAAGAACTTATCACCCCAAGATCAGACCAATAGGCAAATACTGCAAGGGAACATTCCCAAGGTTGAAGCCCAGAACCAGTGCAGTTGGGGTTTGGATTTCCTTCAAAGAGGCCTCTGACTCAGATCACATGGCCCTTCACAGTCCTCCCCGCCCTGTGCAAAAGAAGGTGGCACAAACATTGCTATGAATAAAGTGTGTCCCCTTCGCCACTCTTTACCAAAACTCCCACGTGTCATCAGCGGTGACAGCCCTCCAACATAGGCCCATATTGCACGTTAACCGCTAACGGCTGGAGCAGGCAGCGAATGCCAAGTGGTAACTGGCATTCAGCCAAAACCCAGGAATGCTTGAACGCAGCCGACTCCTCGCCTGTAAAACACCCTCCAGGTTTCACTCAGAAATGTCACCCCTCCCCCTGGGGAGGGAGGGAGGGGGAGAAGCTTCTAAATTCTTTCTGTTCTCAAGCAAATGACTGCGCGTCAGTCTCCGAGTTCCAGCTCCACGGTTCACAAAATCTATCCTTTAATGTGTGATGCTCGGTCTTCTGCACTGACGTCAAGAGGTTGCTTGGTACATTTTAGGCTGAGGCCGAATGAACATCCTGGTTTTCAAAAGGTGGCAGTGGCTCTCTCCAAAAGGTGAAATTACTGAACGTATCTGAACAGGGAAAGTCTGAAGAATGGCTTCTTTTCAGTAATGGGAAAACATGGTCAACCACTTCACAGAGTCTCACGTACCTGGAAGGAAAATGGAAATCATCATTGCCCCTGAGTGGTGCCAGCTGACCCCAGTCGCAGTGAGCACCACCATGCACCCAGCGTTGTGCTCAGAAGCTAGGAGAGATGACCTTGCCCTCACAGAGCTGACCACCTACCTAACACAGTGGAAGCAGTTCTAGAATAATTTCTTATTAAACTAACAGGAAATCAGAGAAGCGATCAAAAAGTACACAAAGGAGTCCGAGAAGGCTTCATGAAAAAGTGGGACTTGGCTTTGCCACAAAGGACAGATGAAGGGAACAGGGCAGAAGCAAGGGAGGACAGAGGAAATGAGCATAATGAGTGGACAGCCACCTGCCAAGGAGGTCACATACAGGATATCAACGGACAGAGTCACAAATAAAAGACACCTTTGGGCCACCAAACAGATTGCTTCACCGTACAGTGAGAAAACACAGGCCCTGAGGCTAAGGAGACATCAGTTTAATCTTCAGAGCTGCCATTTACCAGCTGTGTGATCTTAGGAAAATGACTTAATCTCTCTAAGGCTCAATTTCTGCAACTGTAAAACAAGAATAATGAAAACTGTGCCACAGTGTTAATATGAGAATTAAATAATGTATGCAACAATGCCTGGCCCATACTGGGCACTCACTAAACGTATTCAACAATAAATTTTTAACATGTCTTAGGAAAAAAAGTCCTGGCTGGCATGAGGGTCAAAACATCTAGAATCTACTCCTGACTTACCTGCTGTGTAAACTTGGACAAGTGTCTTGACCCCTCTGGGCCTCGGGAGCTCTATCTTTATAGCATGTAGGGTTAGACTAGATCAGTGTTTCTAAACACTCTCTAGAATATTCTCTCACTCTGTTTTCTAAGTATCTTAAAGAAGACATTAAATATTAGCTATTTTGGCTTGTATTACAAAAAAAGTAAAGTTGCTACACAGAACATGCATTTTCAGACCACTGGATGCCTCCGACCGGAGATGCTGACACACCCAGCCCTCTCCTGCACACCCACAGTCTTCTCTTTGACAGTCACTGGGTCCCTTTCCAGTTCCAATTTCCTAAGAACCTAGAAGGAGCTTTTGAAATCCAAACTCCAGGAATTAACATGTTCTGAGGCATAAAATAACTTATTAAATAAGAATGAATATGTGTATTTAATAAAGAACCTCCAAAGGACTTATGAGAAATATTACGCTTGCACAAAATGGGAAAAATCTCTCTTAATAAGCAAGCATTATGTCTTTTCTGGGGATTAAAACAAACAAATAAAATTAAAAAAATACCTCTGGCTTTAAGGCCTATTTGTTTGGGTTTTGTGGCGATGGGAGGATGCTCCTTCTGCAGGGAGCAGTTCGTTGCCAGGCTGCGGTACGTATCAGATACAAAGTCACTCTCACATGCCCTCAGAGGCAGAGCCCAAGCTCCATCTATGCGCCTCTTTCTGGCCCATCCTCCACACACAGGCCTTCGGCAGAACACACAGGCTCACATACTGACATTCACAAATGCAAAAGAAAAAAAGCACTAAACCTCTCCATCCTGCATGGGCCCCTATTCAGCTAACGATGTCATGGATGATTTCTCAGACAGGGTCCCCACTCGGAGGGGAAAGCACCTACTTGGCTTAGAAGTGAGTCAGTACTAAGTTCAATGCCAGAGAAACATGTGTGCCTCCCTGGTGAGGAGACCATCACATCTGCCAGTCTGTGCATCAGATAAAAACATTCTTTGGCAATATATAAAACAGTCTTCTCTGACACAGAGATCCACGCTAGGCCATGCCATGGGCAAAGCACGCATCTCAATTCCAGAATATCTGCAAACGGTACCTTCACAGGCCTTCCAGGCAAAGTCTCAGATGCTGGAATCCCTCTTTCCACGTCCCTCGTGACAAGGCTGCCACTCACCTGCTGTCCAGGCAGACTCCCTGCCACTTCCAGGTGCATCCCATCGGCTGAGAGGTCTTTTTGACCCTCCACAGAAATCTCCTAGATCTTTACCACGCCGGGGAAAGGCTTTCATGCGGGGAGAGGGAGCTCTGACACTGCCGGGGTAGCCATTTTTAACAAAGGACAGGGAAGAATTTGCAAGGACAGGGTTAAGAAAAGAATGAAGTCCCTGTTGTTCTACAGATCAGAAAGCAGCCCGACACTGACTTACATGGTCAAAGATCAGAAAGCAGCCCGACACTGACTTACAAGGTCAACAAAGATCAGAAAGCAGCCCGACACTGACTTACAAGGTCAAAGATCAGAAAGCAGCCCGACACT